ATATATATATATACTTTCCGCTTTAATAAAGGCTCTATTCATGGTTACTTTATGTGCAATAACTACATCCATCGTTATCTCTATTGTGAACATATATATACTGTTTGCTGTAATATATATCTTTAGACACTCGTACGCTGATGAAGGTAGCAGGTGCTACCGAAAAGTTCGTACCAATAAAATTCAATGTCTCAATTAAGTCAAAGTGTCTTGCAGTATTTTCATGTCTGTCAACCATTCTATAACCGAGGCATACGTGCAATTTCATCTATTGCATAAATGTTTGATAATTTTGATCACTATGAATTTTGGATACCACCTTGACGCAGAAAGTCTCCAGTACTGACATCATCTAGAGAAACTATGGCGCAAGCTAGCAGATACCAGATCGGATATAATTTACTTGTCACAATGTAAATTACTTGATATAATACCTGAAGGCCTGCGATTACATAACCCATGTAGGTACACTATAAATAGTCCTGCCATTGTTGCCAATGTGGATAAAATTTGGCACCAGAACTCATTAGTCATTCTCAACTTATTTATTGAAGCAGCCTATACAGACCAAAAGAATATTTCAAATAATATAACTAATTCCGAATCTAGACTCGCAAACCTCATCACCCAGGACTTACAGAGCACGTTCAGTTTTCTTCAACCCACGCACAAAGAATATTTGCACTGTCATCTTGTGGGTAAAATTCATAAATTGAAAAAATTATCACCGATGATATATATCTTAAACACCTCTACGCCGCTCACGATAAATCTCGGTTCTGTAAATTTTCGAAATATCTCCATCCAAACCACCAAAAGGAATATTCTAGTGCTATTGTTAACCTTTCAGGGCGTGAATTCTCACAACACGAATGTAAGGTGCTAGAGAAAAGGCTTTCATATTGCCCATCACAAAACACAGACTCTGTTAAACTCACATCGGAATTATATTAATTCCATCGTCGCATCAGGTTAGCAAAACACTTCGCCGGAAACGCATCCAATGAGGTTTCTACCATCACCCGACCTAAATCACTCACTAAGAAATAGACTCCACCTAATGGTAGGAATCCACACATTGAATTTTTCGTAAAGAAGATGCCATGTGAACAAGTTTTTGGAGGAAAATGTCTGCTCGAAGAAGAAAAACCTTTCTCCACAAGAACACAAAGCACTTAATCTGCGCAAGGACCATTCAATAAGCCAAGTTGATAAAGGATGTGCCATCACCATTCAAGATAGAGACATCAGAGAAGCAGAGAGACAGCTTAACGATACATCTTTTTATGAACATTTGGACAATGACCCGTCTAAACATTTTAATAATGAACTTTTAATTTTGACTAGCGAAATGCACACAGATACTAAGTATAGGGTAAGCAGCGTAATTCCCGACAACCGACCCCCAACCCGGTACTTTCTACACTATTCCCAAATTGCATAAACTACCCAAACACATCAGAGACAAAGTTAACCTACACCATTTTCCTCTTGACACTCACGACAACGTATCCCATGAACAATGCGATATTTTCGCTTTGGCAAACTCTCTGAACATAACTCCCCTGGACGTCCCATAGTTTCATGTAACAGTACCAACTCCCAAAAAACATCTTTGGTTATGTGGACAGCATACTCACCCCTCTACTGCCCTATATCTGTAGCTATATTAAAGATACCACCCATTTTCTCAGAAAGTTCAATGACGCTCATGATCTCCCTGATAATTCCATCATAGTCACCTCCCTATACTCCAACATTCCTCATGAGGACGGCCTAGCCGCTTGCCATAATTCCTCAACAAACTCAGCCCTACATCTCATACACAGGACATCGTAGCACTTATCAAACACACACCTCACACACAATCTTTTCCAATTCAACAGCAAGCACTACAAACAGACCAAAGGAATGCCATGGGTACCAAAATGACCCCGGCATACGCCAATATCTACATGTCAGAATTTGAAAACAAATTCATCCACAATTACCACCTCACTCCTCCCATGTACACTAGATACATAGATGATATCTTTTGTAATCTGGTATCATGGTGAAAACTCGCTCGTGACGTTCCTTACGCATATTAACAATGCTGACAAAAACATCACAAGTTCACTACTGAGCACTCACCCAATCAGATCGCTTTTCTCGATGTTTTTGTGAGCATAAAAGGTAAGAATATTATCGCAACATCCGTGTATACCAAACCTACGCATCACCACACCTACCTACACTATCATAGTGCTCACATTGACAGCATGAAACGCTTGCTGATCTACAGCCAAGCTCTCAGAGTGAAGCGAATATGCTCCACCGTAGAAGAACATGACAAACGAGCTAGTCAACAAATTTGCACAGAGTAAATATCCTATCAAATAATAAAAAAATACCTGCCAAAACATCCAACAAATCCAAAGATCAACTTCTTCAATACAAGCCCAAACCCCCATCTCAGCGGCTCCCTATGGTTTTCGCCCACTGCACTCAACTCACTCACCTATCTAAACAACTCAAAGACGACTTAAAAATTATCCAATACCTGAAGCGTTCAAAGAACCCCCCGTATTGGCTAGAAGACAACCCCAACCTAAAATCTTTGCTCATATCCTAAAATATTCCCTCTTCTCACCCCAACCAGGTAACAAACCTTGCGGTAATTTTTTTTTTTTTTTTTTTTTTTTTTTTTAAATCATAACTCAACGTGTTATGAGTAAACATATATCGCATTAGCGTACAATGATGTAAAGTAATATATTTTTATATAAAAATGAAAAAGGGAGGAAAAAAATTAAGGGATATACTGGTTAAATAAAATCTATATTAATAATGGTTACAATTGGTCAATGCCTAAACTTTGAAATCATGTTAATATCATAGAATTATGCTTAAATTTATTTTTTTAAAGTTTCATATAACATACATTGATCGACTTAATTTGCATGTTTTATTGTATATATAAGAATCAAGAGAAGTTTAAAAAATAAGAAAATCAAGAAAAAAGGTGAAATATCAAAAAGGCTGTAATGCAGAATGTCTGTAATTCAAATAACCTGATGTATTGATGAATAAAAGTGGTGGTTGTTATACCACAAAAGAGAAAAAAAAAAAACCTTGCGGTAATCACAGATGAAATATTTGCCATCCTTATAACAGACAGTCTCATCCATGTTCCCAACACTAAGATCACGATCAGACCCCCTTCACTCACCTGCAATGCCCATAATATATATATATCATATGGTGTACCGTATGTAAAGGGGTATGTTATGTCGGGGAGAGTGACTGCACATTTAGACAAAGGATTATTAACCACAAAAGCTCTATAAGAAACAATTACAAGTTTCCTTTAGTTAAACACTTTAACGGAGCTAGACAAACCATTAACAATATGAGATGTATCATTATTGATAACAACTTCAAGTCACTTAATGAAAGAAGATGTGCTGAAATAAAATGAATTTTGAAACTTAAAATAAAATAGGACCTAATAAGGACCTAGGTTTTGCTTCAGGCTTTACATTCACTAAATAATGTTTTATATCTCTTTAGTACAGTCCCGTTTTTCTTTTTTGTATTTTATCATAGGCCTCTATTCATACACATTTTTTTTAATTATATTTATTGATTTTCACAATTCTCTTCCTTAAATATTTTATTAGTTAATCGTTAATTCTCCGTAGTGGTTTTATTTATAATCTTAATCCCCCTTAATTAGTATCCACTGTTCTTGTCAACGTTCCGCTTCATTAAAGTCTTTATTCATGGTGAATTTCATTGTTGATGTACAATAACTACCTCCATCTTTATATCTTATCGTTAACTGTAATATATATCTTTAGATACTCGTACGCTGATGAAGGTAGCAGGTGCTACCGAAAATCTCGTACCAATAAAATTCAATGTCTCAATTAAGTCAAAGTGTCTTGCAGTACTTTCATGTCTGTCAACTATTCATAATATATATATATATATATATATATTATATACTATGTATATTATATATATTATATATATTATATATATTATATATATTATATGTATTATATATATATTATATGTATTATTATGTTTACAAAACAATAAAGATGTTATATAATATCAATTAAAATTTTGTAATTTATTTATTTTTCTATAGATATTTGAGTTCAAACCAGTTAAACACTTACGATCCTGATACGTTTAATGGACTTACTTCTCTTAATATATTGTAAGTTTTATTTAGAACACTGTCTCGGCCTACCACAATATTACTACTGCTAGCACGGTCACATTTTTCTACTAATACTACAATGAACAGTACAATTTGTATTATTAAAACAAATACTCGTTTCGATATATTTATTTTATTTTTGTTCTATGTACTTTATATAGAGTATCGGATGAGTTTAGTATCTGTTGCATTATGAAACATGTTCCCGACTGCCGTCCTGTTGCTGATCAATTTTCCTCTTGTAAAAATCTCTTGAAGACTGAAGCTTTGCGGATCCTGATGATGATTCTGGGAGTTTCTGCCCTCATCGGTAACGTAACTGTTATTATACTGCGCTTGCTGGAAAATAAATTTAATGTCCAAACCATACTCATAACTAGTCTTGCTGTATCTGACTTGTTGATGGCGGTTTACATGATAATCATAGCAGGAGCTGACCTTCACTACAGGGGGCTGTACGCAACGTTTTCACAGGCTTGGAGAAACAGCTTCCTTTGCAGTTTCGCTGGGTCTATTGCTACACTCTCCAGCGAATGCTCAGTATTTATTTTGATGATTATGAGTATTTACCGTGCAATTAACATAGCTTATCCGTTCAGTAGCATTCGCCTCAATCGTAAAAGGTGCATTAAAACTGTCAGCATTGTCTGGCTGGTCTGTATTTTTATTAGTTTTCTTCCGATGTTCGGCAAACTAAGCTTCATCAACATACAGTATTTTGGAGTTAACTACTATGGAAGAAAAGGTGTGTGTCTGGCACTGCCGCTAACAAGAGACCGGTTACCAGGCTGGGAATACGCCATAGCGATTTTTATTGCCTTCAATCTCCTTGGATTCTTCGTCATCGCCGTGAGTTATATCTCAATTTATATATCCGTAAAAAGAACAGCATCGAGGGCTAACAGAAATCAACTGCACGCAGAAGAGATAAAGATGGCAACCAAGATGGCAATGATCGTCCTAACTGATTTTTGTTGCTGGTTTCCAATTATCATAATGGGAATTGGTTCCGAGTTTGGTGCCTGGAAGCTCCCACCTGACATATACGCATGGTCAGCAACCTTTATTTTGCCCATTAACTCCTCTCTCAACCCATACCTTTATACAATCGCTTATAAGTGTCACAGAAAGAAAAAGTCTCCGAAACCGGCCTTGATAGAAATGCGTTGCCACCATAGCCATGCAGTAAAATAAAGCCTGAGCTGAGAAAATCCACTACGCCAAAATCTGGCATAATTAATAAGGTTAGATTACATATCAGATTTTTCCGACGATTACGCCCTATTACCGGTCATATTTAACTAGGTATTATGCAATAGTTACAATTATGTGCACCTATTTTTCTAGCGATTTTCAACGCAAATTTGAGCGAGATTTTGATCTATTCCGCGGAATTTAGCACCATTGTCGTTAAATTTGAACGGCATCTGACATCATAACACTGCACCTTCGTTATTTTGCACTTTGCCACCAAATAAGGTAATACCAACCTCTGTTTCATTTTTTTTTTGTGATTGGCCCTAGGACATTTTGCCGAATGAAAGTAAATTTAAAATATACAACTGCGAGGATACATTTAACTATTAATCTTTAATTCATGAACATATTTTAATATATTTTTATATTATTCATTTGTTCTGACTTTAAGCGATAAACTCTCCGAAAATCGGCAGGTTGTAGCTGCTTAAGCATTTATTATGTAAATTAAAACAAAAATAAGGCCACATGTATACAGACAAATGCCTTAATAAAGGAAAGTGTAGTATTTCGAATATTTTGATGATTTTTTTTTTTTTACATCTAAATATATCATTTATGATACATTCATATTTTGACAAAAAATCGGTGAATTGTCTGTCGGCAAAATGTCTTTCTGCAAATTGGCTGTCGTCAAAACGCCATATCAGTAAATTGGCATTCTGCAAATTGTATTGTCGGCAAAAATTCCGTGTCAATAGTCTAACTGCCAAATGTCTGTTGGTAAAAGTCCGGCCACGTTGCCCTCTAGGGAACACGTTCCAAGTTTGGACGCATATAAATCACGAAGAGACGCCGACATTGTCATAGGTGCTAAAATTTACTGTATCATTTTTTATCTGAGAGTCGAATAATTAAAGATTATGATACTGAACGTTTATTGTAAAGGTATAATATATAAATTTAACGCGAATCCCGTTTTGCTACTGAATCTTAAAATGTCAACGTATATTTTGAAATTAGCGCTACTCTCTTATCTATTCTGTCCAAATGCACATACACATGTTTTAACAACTTTAAATCCGCCGACACCATATTTGTATCTCACTGTATTTGTCATACGAAGAACGGGAAGCTCATAGTGTGTAGCAAAAACAATTAGTTATATAAATGCTTCATAGATAATTTATAACTGTTAAATGTTAAATCAAAACATTTTTGTTTAAAGTTTATAAAGTATGATGGTGTTGTTTCAAGCAATCTAGAGATGTCAATCTGATTGGTAGGTATCGACTAAACTATTTTTACTAGACTAATATAGCATTGTATAGGTATATAATAGCGGTTGTATTAACAAAATTAAACCTGCTAATGAGTTGACTTCAGTGATTCAATATCGCGTCCAAACATTCTTGCTAATAATTACTCTATACCAGTGTCAATGTCATCATAATACCGTACATTACTGTTTCCCATTTTAAATGTATTGTATTGTATTAATATATTGTCAGACAACGCATGAATGGTCATAAATTTGACATTCGTCACAACAAAAAAGATAGGCCTATTGCAGTTCATTTTAATTTACCAGGACATAATATTACACTATTTAAAGTAGCTGTGCTCTTAAGTAATTGCTTTAAAAACAGAAATGAGAGATTAATTTCTGAACAAACATTTATTCATAAATTTGATAGTATTAATAGTGGCCTCAATATAGATGTAGGCTTTCTCAGACACTATAAGTTTTAGTTTGTTACTGTTCATATTAGCACCATGACCGCACAGATAGTTTATCTCCCTAGCTCTATTTATGAGTTGTATTGTAAGTAGCTTGATCACACTTGTTATCTCTGATCATTATATACTACATTGTATCCAACTGCTAATTGATTAATCGTGAGACCTTTGCTAATTATGTATGCATTAGCCCTTTTCTATTTTGTTTTCAATTTTTTACTTCACACAACTGATGAAGCTGGCATTAACTGCCAGCGAATGCTTGTGTTGAATAAATTACATCAAAGTTTGTCTCAGAGTGCTGCCTTTTATAATCTGTGTATATTGTTTAGACTAACACGGCTTCATTACAACTTTTTTATATATTGTGAAATAGCTTAAATATTATTTAGGCATATTACTTATAAACCATTTGTTTAATGTATAACGAGACATCCGACTCATATTACACTCTATATAAGATTCTTGTGCACCGCTTAATAACTTATTATTAACTGTTTTAACAGTATCAATTTCTCTTGAAGTTAAATGTCATTAAATATACTTTAGATTATGTTTCTGTAATTTTAACGTTTAACAGGATCATGTAAAACAGGTTTAAGATTCACTCGATATGTTTATCCTATTTAAATTTTTTTTTAAATGTACTACACAATAATTTGAGTGCATTACCTTCGACAGCCCAGCGACTGAGGCGAGTGGGGTCATTTTAAGTGGCCACTATGGCGAAAGGCTAAAGTAAGAAAATGTTTTAACTTATACGCCCTCAAGATTAGTGTATGTTATAATTATATTATTACTATTTGTTTTGTCGACGTTTAGTATATACTCTATTTATATCGTAGTTTAAGTTTCTGTAAATTGAACGTTTAACAGCATCTGTAAAACAGGTTTAAGATCTACCTGATATGTTTTATTCTGTTTAAATTTGTTCAAAATATGAAAAAAAGCAGTCGAAGTTCATATCTTTTGCCATTCTAACGACTGTACGTACCCATCATGTAGAAATGCCAAAATAAACAGGATTAACGAATATTAACTACAGATACGTATATGGTTTATACAGTAGAACCCCTATTAGGACACACCTTCATAAGGATAAAAAAGTGTCTTCTTAATAGGGGTGTCCCCTGAATTTGGTACCTCTAATTAGGGAAAATTCAGGGGACACCAGGAGTGGCTCCAGATGAGGGCCGGGGGCAGCCCCCCTCCGCCGGGGAGAGTTCTTCTGCCGGGGAGAGCTCCCCCTCCTCGTCGGGAAGAAAAATCACAATTCGTCGGGGAGAAAAAAAAATTATATATATTTTTTACATATAAGTAGACGCTAAAATCGATTAAATATGCCTTTGAAATCCCTAAATTGTCGAAATTTTCGGGGTCCTTTTAGTTGAAGTTCAACCACGTCCACTTTGCTTTCGTCGGGGAAAATCTGACACATCGTTGGGGAACCGCCCAATCCCCCCCCCCCGTCGGGGACCTCGGCCACCTGTCGGGCAAATCATGGAACCACCCTTGGGGGACACCAACCAAAAAGGTGAAATTGTCAGCAAGTTTTCATAAAACGGTGACATACAAATCTTTATGATTTTATTTTTATTGAGATTATTAATAACATTGGAATACCAATACGATTAATTTATAATACAAAAAATCAGCAGAACTGTAATTAAAACAACAATAGTTTATGTCCCCAATATTGTTTGATGATGCAACGTTAATTGATGAATTAGAATCCTATGAAAGTGCACGAAAAACCAAGAAAAAGAAAGGGCAAAACGTGACAAGCTTTCTTTATACGAAATAACACATGAAGTATGCCTTACCGATATCCACTATCAGGATTTGGGGAGAAAAATTCTGGTTTATTTTTCAAATTTCAATTTCAAATAATTTCAGTTTTATTCAGACAAACTCTGGAAAACAGAAGTAAAGTAGGCCTACTATAACTTTAAAACAATAGAACAATTTCATTAAAACGGACAATTTATTCATATTTATATCAGAATAATTAAAATAAAAATTAAAAAAAATTAAAAAAAATTCACAAATTCTCAAAATCCAATAAAATCAATAAGAAGAGAGGACAGAACACCACTTTTAACAAAATCAAGCAAAACAAAAAACCAAGAAATACCTTACACACCAAACTATTACCAAACAAAGACGGATTGTTTTTGCACTTCAATTTCAGTTAAATTATTATTATTATTATTATTATTATTATTATTATTATTATTATTATTATTATTATTATTATTATTATTATTATTATTATTATTTCTATTATTATTACGTACAGTATTCTAACAAATGCTCACCCTTGACAAACAGCAGTAGAAAGGTGATAACAACTAGAAAGTTCCATTAAACGTTCCAAAACGTGTCAAAATGTGTCAATATAGAAAGTTGAGTGATTTTTTTTCCTATTTTGAGACTTTTGTATTTGTTGTGATACAATAGGGGAAAAAATATATGTACCCTTAATAAGAGTTATTTGACCGTTTGGCACACTCAGAAAGTATCCCCGTCCCCTTAGTAGTGGTGTCCCCTTAATACCGGTTGGCCACAGTGTTAAAAGATTTATCGCCCCTCGTTTTACGGAAGAGTGTCCCCTTAATATGGGTGTCCCTTGAATAGGGGTGTCCAAAAGGAGGGGTTCTACTGTATATTATCATTGATTTTCGACGTTTAATATTAGTATCTATTTATAATGTAGCTTAAGTTTCTATAATTTGAGCGTTTAACAAGTACCGTGTAAAACAGTTTTAGGATCGACCTGATTTATTTTATACTGTTAAATTTTGTTCAAAAAAAAATCTAAGTGTATAACTTTAGCGCACTATTAAGCAAAGGGGTGGCCCTAATGTAAAGAGGCGAAGCCAGGACCCTCCTGTCTGGAGAGCTACCCATTCCACTCTGGGATAGAAAACACAAATCGTCAGTAAAAAAAAATGATATTTATTTTGAAATATGTTTATGCTCACTCTTCCGAGGTCACCCCTGGTTAGCACGTTAAAATATCAACGCAACTTCGAGCCAACTACAAGATCGGCGTGATGTCTGTTTTACTTATGTGTCAGCTAAACGAGAATGATTATTGAGTTTTAGTTGTACTGAAATATTACACTATGAATGGTATGTAGTGTTAGAAGAAATGATTGAAATGAAACATCGAAATTAAATGTAGTTGCGTTGAATGTCACTGTGTTGTCTATTTTGTGGCTTGCTGAATGGTTCTTAGAAGACTTGTCTTTCTG